AGCATCGCCCCTACCACCCCCAAGTTACAACAGTCAAAAATGTATCCACTTATTGCTATATGCCCCAGTCACCTTCACCCAGAGAAGAACAACTTCTCTCTCTCCTCGTAAACATTGTTTCCCCTACCTGAAATAATTTCCCCATTCACTGCAGAAAAGTCCTACTCATTTTTCTTTCTTTTCTTTTTTCTTTTTTTTTTTTTTTGATTTATTTATTTGACAGAGAGAGATACAGCGAGAGAGGGAACACAAGCAGGGGGAGTGGGAGAGGGAGAAGCAGCCTTCCTGCCGAGCGGGAGCCTGATGCAGGGCTCAATCCCAGGACCCTAGGATCATGACCTGAGCCAAAGGCAGACGCTTAACGACTGAGCCACTCAGGTGCCCCGCTACTCATTTGTCAAGACCCATCTTATATGTTACCTTCAATGTAAAGTTTGCTTGTAGTCAAAGTTAATAATTCCTTATCCTGCTCACTTTCTGATCCCACTCACTTACTTAGTTACATAAAACAAATGTATGTTCTCTTTCCTCCTCTAGGTAATGAGAACCTTTGTCCTATTTATTCATAGTATTTTTATCGACTTTATTAATAAATGATCATAAGCCTTCTAAAAAAGCACCCAAGAGAAAACCCTCCCATTGCCAAGGAAAATTTGGCTCACTGAATGATGTCTCACACTGAGCAATATATAACCCTCCAGCGCTCTCTCACTCTCTCTCTGTGCGTGTGTATGTGTATATTTATATACATATTTATATTTATATAATTATTGTTGACTTTGCTCCTGAGAAATGGAAATTAAATGATAATACTCAATTTTAGTAACCCAAGGTCCTTGGAATATCCAGTTCTCTGATATTTTTATTTAGTCTTCGTTTAGATTTACCTTTGAATCACCCATTAGTCCATACGTTTTTGCCATCAGAAGTTGTTTGAAATTCTTTTGGGAATGTGAACAGGTAAAACTTAAAAGCATAGAAATACAAGACAAAAATTTTATACCATGAACACTGTATTTCAAAATAAAAAAAAGAAGGATCCACTTACTCTAATCAACACTGAACAATAATTTCCAAACTTATTCTACGTTAAGTCAACATCTCTCCAATTACTTCAAGAGAGGTCATAAAATTTCCAAAGAGAAACTTAGAAAAAAATCTGGCTTAAATTTGCATGTATATATGTATACATTATGCATTTGGATAATAAGCATATAAGCTAACACTTTTCTGGGAAAAAGGTGAATGAACAAGGAGCCTGGAAATATCAAACAACAAGAACAACAGCAAAATAATAGAATATCATACTCCAAAAAGGCCAGAAATCACAGACATGGAGAAACCTCCAGAATATGCTCAGTCCTGAGGCTTGTTTCCCACGTTAGCACTGAATTATATACATTATTTCTTCAATCTTAGAATTGGTCTAGGTTGCCATAGCTTTAAAAAAGAAAAAAATCTCAGCGATGTCAATTTCTAAGTATTAGTCCTAAATTTCTACTGAAGTTAATAATTTTAATTCACAGGGGCGCCTGGGTGGCTCAGTTGGTTAAGCGACTGCCTTCGGCTCAGGTCATGATCCTGGAGTCCCTGGATCGAGTCCCGCATCGGG